ATCACGAGAAAATTAAGTCGTTATAACGAGAAAACAACTCGTTATGTCGATATCACGAGAAAATTAAGTCGTTATAACGAGAAAACGAGAAGGAAAAAAAAATAATATTGCATGGCCGCTTAGAACTTCCGTACATTTCCGCCATAAAAAACAAAACAAAACGGTAATTGTGACTTTCTCACAATTTTGATCCCCCTTGCAAATCTGCATTTTTATTTCACTTTTTTTCTGAGAATGTTGAGAAAACGAAGTCACAATTGTGACAAACTTTATATAAACTCGCAATTCTGACTATTTTCCTGGCTATTCTTATTTTAACACTCACTTTTTTTCTCAGAATTGCAAGAAAAAAAGATAATTAAGACAAAGTCAGAAATTCAAGATATAAACTCAAACTGTGACATGAATTGTGACATAAACTGAGAATTGTGAGATATAAACACAAAATTATGACGTTTCCCTATACAATTCTGAGTTTAAATCTCACAATTCTCACTTTTTTTCTCAGAATTGCAAGAAAAAAAGTCAGAATTTTGAAAGTCAGATGTTTGACAGAATTCTTACTTTTTCCTCACAATTCTGACTTTTTTCCCCCGAATTCTGTTTTTTTGTTTCTACCACAGAATTAAACATAAAAAAGGTAATTGCAACACTTTTTTAGTCTGCATCTCGCAATTCAGACTTTTTTTTTCTCAGAATCTAAAGTAAAAAATAAATAAAAAAATGTATGTATTGTGAGATAAAAAGTCACAGTTACCTTTTTCAAAGCTTCAGTAGCTTACAGCACCTTTAAATTGTTTTCATCATATGTGACCCTGGACCACAAAACCAGTCATAAGGGTAAATTTTTCAAAATTGAGAGTTATAGACCATCTGAAAGCTGAATAAATAATATAAATAATAAGCTTTCCATTGATGTATGGTTTGTTAGGATAGGACAATATTTGACCGAGATACAACTATTTGAAAATCTGGAATCTGAGGGTGCAAAAAAATTGAAATATTGAGAAAATCATCTTTAAAGTTGTTCAAATGAATTTCTTAGCAATGCATATTACAGGGTCACATATAGAAAGGTCTATAAAGGCGTTTTCCTCTTGTTTCAGTTTTGATGTAATGTTAATTTGCCTCACTGGTCAGGATGGTTTTTCTTTTGCACTGCTCCTCCACGTCTCCATGTTTTTTCCCAGAAAGCGTGAAGGGCGTCTCAAAGACAAAGCGGTTGATGTTGTGATGGCGCTCAAAGTCGGTCTTCTTCTCCAGCTGTTCCTTCTCATTAAAATAAGGCACTACGTAGGTCACCTGGATGTAGGCAAATCTGGGGTCCAGGTCTTTAGGATTCACCTGCGAAAAACACACAGTAAACAACACTGTCATCCTAGTGACTATAAACGAGATTCACTGTGATTCAGACAAGAGATTCTTCACAGGTCAGAGAAAGGAGGTACAGCGGAACCAGCAGGACACACCTTGTTGGAGTCTTGGATCATCTTGACGTTATCAGCTCCAAACTTGTCTGAGTAGAGTTTGAGGAGTCTTTGAGAAATCTCTGACAGTCCTGTGAGCTTCGGCTCCTTGTAGATAAACTCCTTACTCTCCTCTTCCTCAAAGAAGCCCTGGTGAAAACAACACAGCAGCACATGAACTACAGTGTGTCTAGTACAGAGCATCCACCTTGTTTTGCACGGAAGTAAGCTATTTTTCTGTGAATGTGCGACAGGGTGGCCATCGGTCCGGTTTTAGGTTGGACTGTCCATCTACCAGCACAGACTTCAGCCGGTTGCTCATCTGTCCTTCTTTTAAGATCTTTATTTTATACTTTATACAATGGTATATAATAAATAAATAACTAAACAAATGTTCAAGTTACAAGTGACGTACATTTTAGACACAATATTATCAGTATGGACTGATTTGATCCATTTCACCAATTATTGCATCTATGATTAACAGTGGTGTTTCATTCCTGAAGGATTCTGTGTGTTTGAACGAATCAAGTGAGTCAATGATTCAACCATTCATAAAGACAGTTGTTAAATTCGTACTACAACTACTAGTATACTACTCTTACTCTGTCTTTATATGGCAGATATAGTAAGAGAAGTATACTAGTACACACTTCCGAAATCAGCCAGCTTTATTCCTGAATGAAATCAGCCGTTTTGAACGAATTGGTTGAATGACTCAGTGACTCACTCATTAAGACAGTCACTTGTCACCACCTACTGGTGGCTTTTAGTTTCATATTTCATAGTTATGAATGAATTCAGTATAGTTTATATTAATCTCCTAACATTATTTATGCAATTGTAACTGTAGTGTAAATGCATTCATGGCATCTCTGGGCTGCATTAACCAGTCTGTGTAAATACATCTAAATGCATGTACTTCTGGAGTGCCAACATGGATTATATTGATATTAATTTCATTTAACTGTTGTCTATAGTGTCTTATTCTAATTGCATTTATTTAATAAATATATGAATTGACATGAAAGATGACGCATACATTTAATAAGGTTCAAAATTTGAGGTCAAAAACTGTCCAATTTAATGGGAAAAATATCCCTTAATGAAAATGTTTATTTTTTTGTCACTGGCTTATGATTATTTTCCAATTTTTCCTGGCTTCACGAATCCTGCAAAGTGTCCGAGATTTCTGATTCATTAGCTGCTATGCATGAATAACTATAAGAATAACAAAGTACAGTGAATGGTAAAACGTTTTGTATTTAGTGTATTAGTGCTACAAACCAGTGTGTTTATGATTACAATAATATATTCAAATAAAATGATAACAAATACCAGTTTGCAATATCAAGCAGTATAGCGGACTGTTTTTGTACAGCTAAAATAACTAGAAGCTTCACACATTCAAGTTACAAATAGATGCAGCTGCTCTTATGTTAAAAATAATGTGGATCAAAAGCCCAATTGTTAACAGAACTGTAAAAGCAACACGCTGTTAAAATGACAGCAGTGTTTGACAAAGCACAATGAACTCAACTTTTGTAATGAAGGTTAACATCATATTTAGATTTAGTCTCTGTCTGAAACACAACTTGATTTACCTGAAGGCACTCACAATGTACACACACAATACAAATGCTCAGGATTAGATCTGCAGAGGAGAATGATCATGTCCGGGATCAAACACATTATTAGCATGTAGGGAGAGATTAGGAGTGTTAAACCATGAAAAGATGGCAACTTAAATGAACCGAACTTACCACTGCCTGATATATACACAACACACAGGAGAGAACAGAAGAGTGTTTAAACACACTGATTTCTGGGATACGAGCCCAGGAGATCAGACCATTTTTTATTTGCCTTAAAACACTTGGATTAATAAAACTTGAGTGAATTCATACTAGTCATGTTCATTGGAGTTTCCGTATCTTTGATTTTCCACATCAGTTTGTATTTATTTGCTACCTGATTTTATTTTTTCAACATGACACTTTTAAAGTTTGTTGAAGTTTAAAGGCCTGTTCACAAACCAGCTTGTTGCAATATGAGTCCACTGACAAATTAAAAAAAAGTTTGCAATGGACAGACTGTTGCTACACAACTGATAACCTGAGTGGCGCTAAAACGATTTTCCAGAATTAGCGATGGAATACAAAATTAGCATAGACTACTTAAACTAGATCGTGGGCCAATCAGTGTTCAAATCAGAGGGCTAAAATAATGGCCTTTTTTCCCAAATTCTGGCAGTTTTTGACATTTTAAGTGCAGCTTATAAGGAAATATTGTAAGATAAAAATGCAGTTCACAATAATATAACCAAATATAATGTGGGACCTAAATCTCAGCCCATACTTGAGGTCGTGGAGTCTCTACTAATGAGCTGATGGCCTGAATCAGGCGTGTATGACTGCGTTTTGTTCAGTTTGTCTAAAACTAAATAACCCTCGTCATAGAAAAAATTAAACAAACAATTTTCTTTAAAGGGGTCATATGATGCTTTTTTAAAGAGCATTATTTTGTGTATTTGGTGTAACAGAATATGTTGACATGCTTTAATGTTCAAAAAACACATTATTTTTCACATACTGTACATTATTGTAGGTCCTCTATGCCCCGCCTCTCTCAAACGCTTCGTTTTCTACAAAGTCCCTCCTTCCGACAAGCGCAGTCTGCTCTGATTGGCCAGCTGACCCAGTGCATTGTGATTGGCCGAACACCGCAAGCACTCGTCGGAAATGTAACGCCCCTTACCATAATCGCGAGCTTCATCTTTCAAAATAAAAGTAAAGACAGAGCCCGAAATGGGAACCGAGTCGTGTGACAGACACAGTGATGATTCTGGTATGTGTTTGCAGTACACAAGCCACGGTTAAGACAGCTGACTCCACTGTGATGTGACCAGGGGTGTGATTTGGCTTGACACCAGAGACCAGAGTTTAGATGTGCAGAACACATACTGCAGCTTTACGACTGCAGAAATTATTGTGGGTTTTTTTTGGGGGGGTTTATTTTTATTTTTTTTACTTTTTTTTTTGGTAGTACATAATGGAGAATATGATGCATATTTTAAAAGGACATCACAATAAACACTAAAGTCTTTCGAAGGTTTTGCGAAATGAAACATTGACAAACAAAATGATTTTAGTTTTAGAGAAAATTCAACATTTTAGCAAATTCAGATTTTATTTCTGATGAAAATAAGTTGTAATAAGTCAAAAAAAATTATATTGATCTACATTAAGTAAAAATTTGCCTTACGTCTAAAGAATATAGTCTAAATAATAGTGCAATACTTTATTTTCTCTCTTTAACTCATTTTCTTATGTTGAATGTAAGTCAGTGCAATTCAAATTTTTTATGTTTTGCTGTATGTGTATTTTGTCATATACACTGAACAAAATTATAGACGCAACACTTTTGTTTTTGCCCCCATTTTTCATGAGCTGAACTCAGGAAGCTACTCTAATTTCATTGTAATGACAATAAAAGGCATTCATTAAAATATATTGATTAAGTTTATATGGTTTATTATTTTTACTTTATATGAATGTTATTGTCTTTGGGAAAAGAAATATATTTGATTAATATTAAATAAAAAAAACAAATTAATTATAATTTAGAGTATTTTTTAAGTTTGTCCAAAGAATCTTTTTTTTTTTCAGTGTTGTTATGAACCTAAAAAATAACATATTGCAATAAATCTGTTAATGGCAACATGTGATAGCAGAGCTTTTCTTTGCAGACAATAGTGCAGATTGCATCATGACTGCAGAGATATCAGCGAGTTAAGTAACAACCGCACATTTGCGCAAGTGTTTGAGTGAGTGAGTGTCTCACCTGTCCATAGAAAGCCACACGATAGTAGCGTCCAAACAGGCGTTTCTCAGAGTGCACCACCTCTGTCACCTTCAGGTACGAGCGGTGAATGTCGTAGTACAGCTCTGATAACCGCTACAGGACACACAGATACAGTTCATAAACACGTCCCTTGTGTTTTCCTATCAGTCCACCAATAAACAGTCGAAGTACCTTGAAATCTCGCCTCTTCTCGAAGACAGCTATAACAGGCTTGTTGATCTCTGCGATGAGCTCGTATCTCTCAGATTTCCAGAGGTAATCCACACACATCTCCAGCTGCTCCACCAGTGTGTCCTACAGGACAGAAAGACCCTTCAGCATGTTTATGAGAGACGTTTGAAGCGATCACTCCTCTGAGATGTGTGGAGTGATTCTGCACCTCCGTGTACGGAGTGTCCTGAGTGCCGGCGTCCTCCTTCATCGCTCCCTCTTCTTTCACATTAGGAGAGATGTTCATGAAGGCGGCCCAGCCCATACTGAACGATGCTGCGGGTTCATGCACAAACACAGGGAGTATGTTATTCATTCATTCATCTATGCATCTTGTAACTACCTATCCATCGGTTCATCTATTAACACATTAATCTTCGTATTTTCGTAAAACAAGATAAAACAGTGAATAAGAAAATGATTTTTGCAGTGTGAAGTCACCGACTGACTGGACACCAAGGATGCAAAGCTTAGCCTCTGGAAAAGGTCAAGTATGTAACTAAAATCTTCTACCTAGACATTTTAGGGGCAGGCGGAGGTGCACTCACTTTCTCCATCGTGGGGAGTTAGTAAGGGGCTAGAGTTAATTACACAGGCTCCCTCTTTGCTCACACTTGAGATCCGACCCTTCTCAGACTTCCAGTAACCTGTGATTGCAGAGTGGCATCAGGTTTAACACAGGTTTACTCGCAACCTAGGGCTGAGCAGTATGACGGGATGCACCGTGCAAGCGTCAGTCAGTGGAGATTTTGCTATAAAGTTAATGATAATGAAGTGATATGAAGTAGCATTTATAAAAATCCACAGCCGTTAATTGAATTTTCAGTAAAAATTGCTATATTATGATATATACTGTTAACATTATATTCAATTAGCTATAATGTAATAATAATTTTGTTCACACTGCTCACCCCTATTTCAAACTTAGAGCGAAGGCAAGTGCTCCAGCCATGCATCTACTGTAATTCATGTATCTACGCCAGCATGCACGCACAATCAGCTTGAATGCATCTAATGACAAGGCCACAAAAACTCACAGTATAAGGAATAAAGCAAGTGGCAGGAATGAGCATTTTTCATTATGAAGTGCAGCACTGAAAAAAACAACAACAACTGAGCAGCAATGGTCAAACAGCATGTCAAACGAAAGCTCAATAGGAAGGCTATTTATGCAATGTTTGCAAAATAAAAATTGAGAGACTATCACATTGATGTTAGGCGCACATTGATAGCAGGTATTACTGAAATACTGATCGCCTCAAGCAGGTGCTCACCTCTCCTCCTCAGAGACTCTGCTATGAGGGCTGAGATGTGGATATAGCACATGGCCGCCTGAAGTGGACAATGAAAAGTGTTTTCAAAATGTCATTTTTAATTAACAAAAGCACTAGTCTCTTTCAGACAAATTCAAATCTGAGGCACTGACATCTGCATGAATGAAGCTTTAAAGGAACAGTTGACCCATTCTCATCAATGGATGCTCTGCAGTGAATGGGTGCCGTCAGAATGAGAGTCCAAACAGCTGATAAAAGCTTCACAATAATCCACAAGTAATCCACACCTCTCCAGTCCATCAGTTAATGTCTTATGAAGCCAAAAGCTGCATGTTTGTAAGAAACAAATCCATCATTAAGAGGTTTTAACGTCAAACCATTGCTTCTGGCCAAAATACAAGTCCATAATTCATAATAACGTTCCCTCCAGTGAAAAAGTCCATCTCCTGTTGTCTCTCACATCCAAATCAACCCACATATTTGTTTAGAGCTGTTTTGGCTTGTAAACGGTGTTTAATCTGTGCAGATTTCTCTCCTGATTCAGTCCAGATGACCTTTTCACCGGAGGAAGCGTTATTATGTATTATGGACACAAATTTTAGTTAAAACATCTCAATAATGGATCTGTTTCTTACAAACATGCAGCTTTCGGCTTTACAAGACATTAACTGATGGACTGGAGTACTGTGGATTACTTGTGGATTATTGTGATGTTTTTATCAGCTGTTTGGACTCTCATTCTGACGGCACCCATTCACTGCAGAGCATCCACTGCTGAGACACTGATGCAATGCTACATTTCTCCAAATCTGATGAAGAAACAAACTCATCTACATCTTGGATGGCCTGAGAGTGAGCACATTTTCAGCACATTTTCATTTTTGATTGAACTGACCCTTAGCCCAAAGGAATAGTTCCCTCAAAAATGAAAATTCACACCCTCATGTTTTTCCAACATGTTAGGGACCGACAATCATCATTCTCATTCATTGTATATAGTAAATTGTGACTGAGGCTGTCTTCTTCTAGCATCTTGTTTTGTGTTGCACGAGCTCCATTCATGCAACTAATAAAAAGATCCTCTCGATTAAGTCATTCGGACCTCAGACAGGTCTCCGTTCCTAACGTGGATCTTGGCCATGCTCTCTAGCCAGGTGCATCTGAGCTCAGGTGTGCTGGCGTAGGAGTTGGCGAGGCTGTACTGCAGGTCCACCAACATCTCCGGGTCCTTTTCATGCTCTTTCATTTGGGAGGTGGCCATCAGGACGGTGCGTATCCTCTTGGTCAGGTCCTTCACCTCAGCCGGGAGCGTTGTGTTCTGGAAGAAAGCAAAAGATCTGTTGTTTAACATTATGTTTTTGTAACGATACAGCACAAGGTTGTCTTTCATGACTAAAATGATCCTGCACCGTTGCTCTCAAATCTTGTTTGCATGCATTTAACTATGGCTTCTTGAGGTGTTTTGCCACGTTTAATCTTCATTTACTTCAAAACAGGGGTATTTCTAGCCATTCATCAGTCCAGGGGCACAGGACCCCCCCAGCAAAAAAGTGTGCCCATACTTTGATATTGATATGGCTTTGGATATAAATGGATATAAATCATCTTTACGTGCAGGACTGAGTTGTTCACAAGATGCACATGCAATAAAAAGCTGGTTCATTGTAAACAAACGATAGAAGGCATTTGCAAGTTTTTTTGCATATAATTATTTTTGTTTTCTGTCTTATAAAATACTATTTCAGTGTGAGAAACCGCTGCAAACGATCCAGTGAATGAATCAAACGGAATCGAAAACAATTTCAGCAGCTAAGTTCATATTTTGATTTTGTGGTTTGAAATCTCCCACTATTTTTGCAATAGCACAGCCTTAAAGTGTTATCTTTGCTAAACTCTCACTTTAAGTGGCGTGTCTCCATTGGCGAAGTTGTTGATGATGGCCAGAGACTGCTGGAAGCGTGAACCACCGATACCTGCATCAGCGATCAGCTGACTTACAGCTTTAATCACCTGGACGAGAAGGAAAGAATCCAAATCAGCTTCAATGTCTGTTTCTCACATTCAATCCTCAAACCAGCCAGTCATACACCTCCACATCAGGCACACAAATACAGGCTAACACTTTATTCTGATGGTCCACTTTAGACAGTCTACTGACTATAATAACTCTGCAACCTCATCATTAGAGTATTAGTGACTGTGTGCTTAACATCTGCGAACACTTTATTTTGATGGACATTCTACTGACTATAAGTGACTTGGTAAGTACATATCAACTTATTCTACTAACTCTAACCCTAACCTAACAGTCTACTAATACACTAATGAAAGGTAGTTTACATGTAGTTATATGGCAGTGTTTTAATGGCATGTAAAATAAAAAAACTAAAATAAAAAATCTAAAATCACGAGATTACAGTCATAATATTTTGATAATGTGAAACACTTGAAGACGTGAAGTATTATTTCCAAGCATTTATACTGTCAATAAAACAGCTTGTGAATAGTCACATAACATTATTTACCTCAGAAAAAACAACAACAATATTATAACTTAAATTAATGCGTTGGAGCCCAGTTCAACCTTCAGAAGTTTTTATTGCTTTTTTTAATGTTAAATACAATGTAAAGAATGACAGGTTGAACGTCACAGATGTCTTTTGCAGAGTACTGTAGGTGGATTTTAACATTAATTCATTTTATTCACGCCATATACTTGTCACGCTGTATTATTCAAACTCTCACAGCAAAGTAGTACAAGATCCAGGGAAATTTTGAATGAACAAAAAAAGTTCAGGAGTACACAGGAAGATCTGTATTAACTAAGACAATACAGCTTAAGTTAACACTAATATCAGAACCAAGAGGGACCCAAAACTGAGAGACTAAATAGAGAGACTTAACGAGCAAACACACCTGAACTGAGAGGACTCAAATTAATCAGTAACCACAGAAACAAACAGGCAGGGGACCAAGGAGAACTGAACTAATTAACAGGTAGAAAACGGATCATGAAACTGAGAACAGAAAAGACATGAAAACTGATCAAAAACAAACGGAAAACGTGACAATACTACTTCATTCTCAAAATATTACGACAATTAATCTGATATTGCTATGAATTTATTCTTGTAATTTTGACTTTATTCTTAAAATACAACTTTATTCTGAAAATATTACGACTTTAATCTCGTAATTTTGACTCTATTCTCAAAATACAATGACTTCATTCTCAAAATACTGACTTTATTTTGAAAATATTGACTTTATTCTTAAAATATTACAACTCCAATCTTTGAAAAACCATGAATACAACCACTAGTAATATGATTTAAAGATTTATCACTTTTGACCAATAGGTGGTGCTATTATCAAATTGATGTGGTGTGTTCAGTGTGAGATCACGATGGCACATTCAAAGTTTTGTGTTAATATGCCAAAGCTTTGCCGAGATACAGCCAACGGACAGGAAGTTTGACTGATTATGGCATAATTGGTATTGATGTTCTCGGCATGATACAAGGAATCTATTAAGACCAGTCGCATAATAATAGGCAAAACGAATCAAAAGTTATTAACATTTTAAAACCATGAATACAACCACTAGTAATATGATTTAAAGATGTATCACTTTTGACCAATAGGTGGTGCTATTATCAAATTGATGTGGTGTGTTCAGTGTGAGATGACGATGGCACATTCAAAGTTTTGTGTTAATATGCCAAAGCTTTGCCGAGATACAGCCAACGGACAGGAAGTTTGACTGATTATGGCATAATTGGTATTGATGTTCTCGGCATGATACAAGAAATATATTAAGACCAGTCGCATAATTAAGCCAACGGACAGGAAGTTTGACTGATTATGGCATAATTGGTATTGATGTTCTCGGCATGATACAAGGAATCTATTAAGACCAGTCGCATAATAATAGGCAAAACGAATCAAAAGTTATTAACATTTTTTTTTTTAAATTCATTATAATTTTCGACCACAAGGTGCTCGTGTCCCAAAACTTTTTGAGCATCTACAGGGCACGGTGCCGATGACACATACAGAGTTTTGTGATGATACGCCAATGCGTTCGTAAAATATGGCATTTTATGACAACATTTTAAATGCCTGACGCCACTGTCGTTTGACTTGATATGTCACAGCATATCTAAAGACCAGTCTTGTGATTTTTGGCCAAACCGTTCAGAAGTTATAAGCAAAAATAGGCATTTTTCATATCTCCCGACCACTAGGTGGCACTGTGCCGAAACTGTGCAGGCAGCGTCAGGTCATAGTTATTATAAAACACAGTTTTATAATAAGTTTCAAAAGTTTGGTTTGAATACGCTAAAGCAGGGCTGTCCAAACTCGGTCCTGGAGGGCCGGTGTCCTGCAGAGTTTAGCTCCAACTTGCC